CTGTACAACCCACAGGGTGTACAAACAGTTAAACAGAATTTATCAGTTTATTAAATTTATATCAGCTGTACAAGCTTAAAAAAAACTCCAACCACAAACAAGGTCAACAGATCCTTTAGCCAATGAGTCCGTTTACTTCTAATCTACATAAAACAAACAAAAATACACCTCTGAGCTACAGTTTCCTAAAATCACCAGAAAACCATTAGGGAAACAATGAATGTCTGGTATTTCTTCATGTGTCTGCACCTGATCATGCAGCAGAGAATTCTTCACATAGATTCCATGACCCTGACACTAAACATAACTTCCTTGTACTCTGCAGTAAGAATGTGACCAGTCACACTCAAACATGCACACACCCATAGGGACAAACACAGTATTAGGTTTGCAACAGTATGAGATTTTCACAGTATGATATCCATCTCAGAAAATGTCACCGTTTCACAGTATTGCACAATTACTATTATTTTTATTGTACGTGACTGTGCCAGTTGACTGAGCTGGAGTGCAGCACTAGATTGATCCTAAAGAATAAACAGAGTGGTAAACATTATTTTTTTTTTTTTAAGAGCTGCATATAACATGTTATATAACTAAAGCATGTTAGTTTGCATGTTAGCCCCAGGAGTATAGGAAGTATTTACATCCTTTAAAATAACGTGGGCTTCATAGATAACTGGAAAACATTTTGGGGAAAACCTGGTCTGATTAGCAGAGACGGCATCCATCCCACTTTGGGTGGTGCGGCTCTCTTATCTAGAAATCTGGACGAGTTTGTTTTACAACCTAAATTATGACAACCCAGAGTTGAGTCCAGGATGCAGGGTCGCAGTCTTACACGCCTCTCTGCTGTCTCCTTGCAGCTGCTACCCACCCAACGCTCCCAGTACCCCATAGAGACTGTGTCTGCCTCCCGCCCACCTAAATTATATAAATCAAGAATCAACTCCAGAGGAGTTATTCATAAGAACCTAATTAAAATTAAGATGACTCCTCTTATAGTGGAAAGTAATAAGACAATCAAATGTGGACTATTAAATATCAGATCTCTCTCATCTAAATCTCTGTTAGTGAATGATTTGATAAGTGAACATCACATTGACTTATTGTGTCTTACTGAAACATGGTTACAGCAGGAAGAATATGTCAGTCTAAATGAATCCACTCCACCTAGTCACAATAACTGTCAAAGCCGTCGAAACACAGGCCGAGGTGGTGGCGTGGCAGCGATCTTTGACTCAAGCCTATTAATCAACCCTAGACCTAAACATAGCTATAAACTCATTTGAAAGTCTCACCCTGAGTCTCTCACACCCAAACTGGAAAACTCAAAAGCCTGTTCTGTTTGTTATTGTATACCATCCACCTGCTCCTTATTCAGAGTTTTTAAGTGAATTCTCAGACTTTCTGTCTGATTTAGTGCTTAGTACAGATAAAATAATCATAGTAGGCGACTTTAATATTCATGTAGATGCCGACAATGACAGCCTCAACAATGCATTCTGTTCATTATTAGACTCAGTTGGCTTCTCTCAAACTGTAAATAAACCCACTCACTGTTTTAATCACACTCTTGATCTTGTTCTGACATATGGCATCAAAACTGAACACTTAATAGTTTTTCCCCAAAACCCTCTTCTGTCTGACCATTTTCTAATAACTTTTGAATTTCCATTAATGGATTATACTCTATGTGGGAAACAATTCCACTACAGCAGATGTCTATCTGGCAATGCTGTTACC